ACCTAAGGCTTTGCTGGATTAAAGTGGCAGACATAGTTCAAAAAGGATGGGGAAAATCTATAGCTTTGCTAGCCCAAGTTTGCAAGTTCGGTAAAGGATGGAGAAAATCAGTAAATTTGCTCGCCCAAGGTTACAATTCCAGTTCATGACCATTGAGAGACCAATCAAGTTATTAAATTGAGAGATCCTGGAAATGAAAGAGCCATATAGCAGCTAAGATATAATCTTGACTGACACATATCCAACAGATTGCTCAACTGGGGAAGTGAAAACAAAGGATACTGAGAACTGGTTGCAATGTTGAATGTGTTCCTCAAACCACATGTAGCTCAATTGACTTCAAGTCTCAACTTTAAGATGTCTGCGTTCAAACTGCCCAAATGACTGGCCACTAAACTATGGAGACAGAAAGATGATGCAAGGCTAAAATGAAAATAACTGAGCAGAAACATCAGAGGCTGCACAATGAGGAAGATAGATCACACAGTTTAATAGACGTCTAGGTAAGCTATGAAACAAAGAAACAAAAAATCGGGGGGAAAAAAAACAATCCATGAAGCTGCTAAAATATATTATCAAATATATTCAGCCACAGATTACCACACATGGGGTACGGGAGGGAGAGAAGTATGATAGATACCAAGTAGGATCAGATGTTGGATTTAGCAAAGACTTCAAAGTAACTGTTATAAATATATTCAAAGAACTAAAGGAAAACATGGTAACAAGGAGATAAGAGGGAATTACAATGGAAAAAGTAAAGCTATATAAAAGAACAAAATGAAACTCTAGAATTAAAATGCACAAACATTAAGATGAAAAATAAATTAAGATATCAGATATGAAATTGCATAACAAGGTATCTATGAACTTAAAGATCAATGAAATTATCTAATCCAGTGAGCAGAGACAAAAGACTGAAGAAAATTAACAAAGCATCAGAAATCTGTGGGACAGCAAGCATTCCAGCATGTAAGTAATGAGACTCTCAAAGGAGATGAGAGAAAAGATCAGAGAAAAAGATTTGAATGGTCAAAAATTCCCCAAACTGATACTGTAATACTACTACTACTACTACTACTACTACTACTACTACTACTGCTAATAGTCTGGTCCAAGAAACTAAAGTCCAAGATAAACACAAAGAGAACTACAATTAGACACATCTTGGTTACAGTGCTAAAAAGCCAAAGAAAAAATGAAAATACTGAAAACATCAAGAAGTGATGAATATGTAAAAGGGAACAATGATAAGGTTATTGGCTAACTTCTCAGCAGAAATAATAGAAGGCAGTAGAATGAAATATTTAAAGTGCTGTGTGGAAAAAATAAAAGTAAAATCAGCCAAGAATTCTATAAATGAAGATTTAAAAAGATACATTCCAAATAAACAAAACTGAGAGTTCACGGTCAGTGGACTTAACTATAAGAAATATATGTCTACCATGCAAAGTCTCATCAAAAGAAAGCCAGAGAGGCTATCTTAATACTAAAGTAGATTTAGTGCAAGAAATATCAGAAATAGACACATTTTATAGACAAAGGTGTCTATTCATCAGCAAGACATAATAATCCTAAATATCTCTGCACCTAATAATGAGCTTCAAAATGTGGGAGATAATGGAGCCACTTGGGCACCTGGGTGGCTCAGTAATTTAAGCCTCTGTCTTCGGCTCAGGTCATGATCCCAGGGTCCTGGAACGACCCCTGCATCGACCCCTGCATCGGGCTCCTTGCTCAGCAGGAAGTCTGCTTCTCCTTCTCCCTCTGTTCCTCCCCCTCGTTCATTCTCTCACTCTCAAAATAAAATCTTTTTAAAAAATGCATGAAGTAAAACCCAAAAGAACTGAATTAGGTAAATCCATAATTATGGTTGGAACTTCCAATATCCCTTTCAGCAAATGATAGGATAATTAATAAGAATAAAGAAGATCTGAAAATGTATCTGGAAAATCTTATTTGGAAACTAACACATTTCCAAGTAGTAATTCAGTCTAAGAAAAAAAAAAATCACAGGTGAAATTAAAAAATAATTTAAACTAATGGAAATGAAAATACAAGATATAAAATTTTTTTGTTTTTATGATAGTCACAGAGAGAGAGAGAGAGAGAGAGGCAGAGACACAGGCAGAGGGAGAAGCAGGCTCCATGCACCGGAAGCCTGACATGGGATTCGATCCCGGGTCTCCAGGACCGCGCCCTGGGCCAAAGGCAGGCGCCAAACCGCTGCGCCACCCAGGGATCCCAAGATATCAAAGTTTATAAAGGAAGCTAAATCACCATGGAAGGTGAAAATTTTAATTTTAAATATTAGAAAAAATGGTCTAAAATCAAAGATCTGAATTTAATAAATAAAAAGGTAATCAATAAAATATAAAACAGTACATAAAATCAATGAAACCAATTTTATAGGTACAACTAGAACTCTCATATTTTGTTGATAGGAATGCAAAAATAGTACAACCTCATTGGGAAGCTTGTTTGGCAACTTCTTAAAAGTTAAACTTACGTTTATCTTATGTCCAGTCATTTCACTCCTACGAATTTACTTAAGACAATGAAAAGTGTGTCCACAAAGACTTCTCAGAAATATACAGAGCAAGTTTGTTTATAATAATCAAAACCTGGACACCCAAAGGTCTATCAATAAGTAAATAGGTTCAAAACATAAAAACATATGCTGATCAATAAAATTTGGAATTATTGAAACATATGAGAAATTGAGAAATATTTCAATTTTATTTCTGAGACAATATAATTTGACAAAAAGATTATACAGTATTTGATTCTAAATTCTTGAACAGGCAAAACTAATCTATAATGACAGCAAGCACATCAGTGATCACTTGGGCCAGGGTAGAGGTAGACTGCAAAGGAATGCAAAAGAAACTTTTAGGGTGATGAAATCTGTATCCTGATTGGGATGGTGGCTACTCTGAATATGTTTGTCAAAAATCAAACACAGACTTAAAATGGCTATTTTATTATACAAATTATACATTTCTCTACATCTCAGCCTCTTTATTCTTATAGAATACCTACCTCCTAGAGATGTAAAATTATAATAATAAAAAGTTCCCAGTGTAATACCTAGCATATAGAAGCACTGAATTCTCCATCAATTGTCCATTGACCACTTTCTGCTTATAAGGAGCTCTCAAGCTTGCCATACAATCACAAAGCTGCTGTTAGAAAGTTATTCTTCACCTGCAACTGTTTCTTTTTATCTATGTTCACTGATCCTAATTATACATTCTCTAGATCAGTGGTTTTCAACTTAAGCATACATCAGAATTCCCTGAAGTGGTGGTGCAACACAAAGATTGCTGAGGCCCATTCCTGAATTTAGTTGCTAAATTCAGATGTGGAATGAAAATGGAGAGTGTTTCTCAATTCCCAGGTGATACTGGTGGTAGTCCAGGAATTCTACTCTGAGAAGCATTGCTCTAGAGAAATACAAATTCTTTTTTTTTTTTTTAAGATTTATTTATTCATGAGAGCCAGAGAGATTGAGGCAGAGACATAGGCAGAGGAAGAAGCAGTCTCCTCACTGGGAGCCCGATGTGGGACTCGATCCTGGATCCTGGGATCATGCCCTGAGCCGAAGGCAGACACTCAACCAGGTGTTCCAAGAAATACAAATTCTAAGACCACTCATGCCTCCAAGTGCATCATTCTAAACATTAGAAAAGTCACCCTATTTTTAGTTTCCTTTTTTCCAAATTAAAATAGTTTTAGCTCTCTCATACCTCTTTCCCAGTTCTTTTGTTACAATGTCAAAATCCTTCCTAGCATGTAAACACCTATTGACTGGGGCTGCCAACTGGGGCCTAATCCCTAAACAAAAAAACACAAAAAGGCAATCTTCATCTCTCTTGACCTTGAGAGTTTCCCATAAGCCTAAAAAACTGTATAAGGCTTTTTTCTATGTGTGTAGCTGTGTCCATCAATTAAACACTTCCTGTCTAACCCTAACTGCTAGAACAGGTCCTCTTGATACACTTACAGAGGTAATTTAACTTATTTAAACTTAAAATCTTTTATTTCATCTTGTTGGTTTAGCTTGTTTTTTTTTTTTTTTTAAGATTTTATTTATTTATTCATAGAGTTGCAGAGAGAGAGAGAGAAAGAGGCAGAGACACAGGCAGAGGGAGAAGCAGGCTCCATGCAGAGAGCCCGACGCGGGACTCGATCCAGGGTCTCCAGATCACGCCCTGGGCTGCAGGCGGCGCTAAACCGCCGCGCCACCGGGGCTGCCTGGTTTAGCTTGTTTTTGAGTAATGTTTCTGTTACTCCAAATTAAAAAAAACTGTTCAGAGCCTGTCATACAAATGTGTCAAGCAAACTTTGTTCCATGAACCAAATTTCTAAAGTAAAAATGTTCCAAAGGATAGGATCAATGACAGAAAAATACACTTGTTCAAAGAGTAATTTCTATACCAATATACCTCTGCTGTTAACCACATGATGCGTGTTCTTCAGAAATCTCAACATTTGATGAAAACACATATTTCTCAGTAGCCATATACCAAATGTGAATCATTGAAATAAAAGTTGGATTTCTGTAGTTTCAACAGAAATGGTACCAACAATTTTCTTCATACTCATGTTATTATATTTCAAAACTAATAATTGTATTTCCTGCAAAAATACAATTCTTGATTGAGGGAAAATATGATTAAAGGTAATGACCTACCAAGCAAAGATTTATATGCCTGTGGCTGAAAATGGTCCCTTGGAGGACAGAAAATAACCTCTGCTTTTGTATGTGGTAAATTTCCTCTAGCAGATGAGAAAATAAATGGAAAATGGGAGGACCAACACTGCAATACTTGGATAACAAATTTCGAAAGTACAGTAAAATCATGTCCCTGGATTCTATAGTTTCTAAGTTGTGTCCTTTCCATATACTTCACTAGTATAAGGGAGCAATTATTAACTTGAGTATAATAATTCACAGAAGAATTACTACAAAAAAAAAAAAAAACACAAGACATTACTAAGTAAAGTTAGTTTATTTTACCTGCAGCTCTTCCAATATAAACTGAACGTAAATGCTGATACTGAGAAATATTAGGAAGAATTATGGGTAGATGGACGTCAAGATGTCAAAACATCATGCCTTCTAATCCATCCTCCATGAACTTCTTATAAAGTGCCATAAATTTGGCCACAAATGCTTCCAAATGATAAATGGCTTTGCTACCCAGCTGTAGACGATGTTCATAGTAAGCTGCCATCTGGGCCACTTCCCCTTTCAGCTGTCCATCACAATTATGCAAAAGTTCTAAAAGAAGGCCCTGAAAAAAGATAATAATTTAAAAAGTAGACATTAAAAAAAAAAAAAAAAGCTTTCCAAAATCTTAAATTATTTGATATGGAATGGTAGTCTTCATACAAAAACAAAAAATTGCATACCCAGTCTATAATGTAAAAATGTGGTAGTTATCAATCATATTCCTAATGCCAAATTGAAGGTGCAAAGATATAATTACAAAGATGCTTACTGTAGCATTATTAGTTATAACAATAATCTGTAGACAACCTAAAAGTTCCAACAGAGTCATTTTCAAAAAATGATGATATAGTCCTACAATGTCATTCCATTCATCCACCAGAAAGGATAAATCAATACTCTCACAAAGTATCATCCACTCTACACTGCTGAATAAAGAAAAAAAACACATGGCAGAACATAGTGAAGTTTTGTGAAACTACACACACACAGCTGTACATGTGTGACTAGAATACAGGCCTGTTAAAAGTGGAAATGGAAGAGTAGACCTTCACTTTTTCTTCTAAATTTGGTATAATTTGAATTTTTTCATGTAAGTATTACCATGTAATTTTAATAAATACAAACAAAAACCCTGCATCCTCTAACATCTAAGTCAATCAACACAGCTGGCTAGGTAGCTGAAAGACCAAACTAAAGCCATGCCTCACAATAGTCTACATAGTCCAGACTCTGCCAACTTCTTTAATGTCATTCCCCATGTGCACTAAACATTGCTGTCTGAAATACAGCTGACCCTTAAACAACACAAGTTTCGATTGTGAGGGTCCACTTATAAGTGGATTTTTTTTGCTAAGTACACTATTGTAAATGTATTTTCCTTACGATTTCCTTAATAAATTTTCTTTTCTCTACCTTACTGTATTGTAACAATACAGTATGTAATATATATACACAATGTGTTAATCAACTGCTTATCTGTAAGGCCTCTGGTCAATAGTAGACTATTAGTAGTTAAATTGGGGGGTAGTTAAGTTATATGAAGATTTCCAACTATGCAGGGTGTACTTGTTCCCCAACTATTTACATGGTTCTCTTCTTTTAACCCTCCGAGACTGTTTAAACATGCCTTCCTCATAGAAGCCATCACTGACCTTCCTTCCACAGCCCACCTTCCATTACTATCATTTCATCTTGTACTTCCTTTTAGCACATAGAACATTTTGAAACCCTTTTGCTTCTTATATCCCATTTTACCCTGCTAAAACGTAAACTGTCTGAAAGCAGACCCTCCCCAGTCTTTTTCAACACTCCCCTAAATGGTGTCTTGGCACACAGGAGAGGCTCATATTTGTTGAATTAATGAGCTGGATAGAAAGAAATGTCAATGTATCTTAGTACTGAAAAAGCCCTGTGATCACATAACCAAAGTCTGAATTTTATGGTTATAAATGGTTCAAGATCTAAAATCAGATTACCTTCATTATTATTTCAGGAGGAATACAATGAGTTAGAAGCTCATAAAGTCTTCCACGAACTTCAAGGAGCCTACATAAAACAAGATATTTTTGATGAAAATAAGACATAATTTTTTCAAGTACCTACTGTGCTGTTTTAAATTTTTGAGTTAAACAATCCAAGACATTTTCTTAAATGGCTTAATATACTTAAGATACACATTTAAGGGTATCTGGGTGGTTCAGTCAGTTCAGTCAGCATTGCCTTTGGCTCATATCATGATCCCAGGGTCCTGGGATCAAACCCGGCATCAAGATCCCTGCTCAGCGGGGAGTCTGCTTCTCCCTCTGCCCCTCACCCCCTACCATGCTCGCTCTCATGCATGTTCTTTCTCAAAAATAAATGAAATCTTAAAAAGACATACATTTAAGCCTTTCCTAATTTCAGTTTATTTTTCAAAAAATGTTCAGAACTTTTAAAGTCAGACATTTATATTCAGTTATTAGTTACATAAAAATGCCATGAAAGTAACATAAAAATTAAGACTTTATGAATAGTGAGGGTTGATCTTACCCACACTATGCATTTCAACATATTCTAATAACAATCAAGTAATGTTTATTTTTTCCTTCAGATAGATACCTCAGACATCCAGAAAATGGTCATGAAAAGAAACAATCACTAATTATTATAAGAAAAGAGAATATAAGCACGATATGTAACATAGGTTATTATCTCAACTGCTAAATAAAAAGGTAGTATGGCCGGTAAACAAAGCTATGCTGTCACATAAAGGGCAGTTCAAGAGATTATTGGTTAAGCACAGAATCAGGCTGCCTAGTGAATATATGAACATTCCAACCTCTGAGTTCTTAATTCTAGGCCCTTTTCATAATAGTTTCAGGAGGGTAAGGGGTAAAGGATAAAGAAGGAAAATATACATATGACATTTTAAAACAAGAGAAGAAAGTGACAAGTTATAAATACACATAAAACAATTATCTTGAAAATATTTTTCTGAATCTTCACTAAAATAGTATCACGGATGTTCCATATTCAGACCAATCAGAGAAGTGATTCATCCTTAAAAGTGGAAGTCAAACCCTTTTCCAGGGACTCTTAAGAGTAGGAAGATGCAGACAATAAAAGCGAATAAAATGAAAAAGAAACTAGCATCTTTTGAGCCCCTGCTATAGGCAAGACACTGTAACAATTTAACTTAGTCTCACCTTAGCTGAGTGGGGGCATTGTCTCCATTTTTTTAGATGAAAAAACCAAGGCTCAGATAGTTTAAGTAACCTCACAAAGCTGACTATAGAAGAACCATGATTTAAGAACAGATCTGCCTTACTCTCAAATCCATACCCTTCCAATGTCTGTCAAAGCATTTATTTAACCCTTTCCTCTATAAGAGGCTCACTGCAGTATGCTGTTTATACCTCACAACACCACCCTTTTACTGAAAAGAACTGAAGTTCAGAGAGGTTTGTGTCCATTAAAACCCATGTAGTTGAGTCAATTGAGTCAGAATTTTAATTCAAGTCTGACTTCAAAGCCCTTGATCCTTCTTAGACATGGTAGTAGATCTCAAAAAAAAAAAAAAGGCAATCCCTGATTATTAAAAACAGACACAAAATGACAGATGATATGAAATTTTCATAATTATGCATATCGTTTATTTCTGAAAAGTTAATTCAGGACATATTCGCCTAAACAACTGTGCTTATAACTCTGGTGTGTTCATCTCATGCATGTTACATGCATCTTGGCTTAGTCTGAGTTCATTTCTAATATGACTCAGTTTCTTAAAAATGAATATATTATACATTTTTTATGTTTGTGTCATTATTTCTCGGGGATTACAAGTGATAAGAAGTGCAAATTCTTCTGTCAGAGAAACATGGTATTACAGAACTGATTCTTAAATGAGTATCCATGAATAAGCAACAATCTCTGAAAACAGCAGTTTCTTATCTACAAAATGACGACTAGTAATACTTTTCTTCACTGGACTGTTTTAAATGAGATACCACAGTTTAAGAACCAACACACTAAATACTAGCTGCTATCCAAATTAGAAAACTATGATTCTTCTAAAACAAATCAAACAAGAATCAAGACTAAGGGGTCAAGAATAAGAAACAGTCATTTGGTAGTACGTGGGCCAACAATCAGAATGACACCAGCCCTCTCAGTATTTCCTGAAAGCTTTCTTGAATTGAAATTCTTTTTATGTAACACAATGGAATCCATTCCCACAACTATTAGTCTACACAGGAAATAACAGCACCTCTTCTTAAACAAACTCATTTGTGAGCCTCCCAAGTTTGTTTGAAGTAGCAGCAGCTAGAAGAATTAAGCAAAGCAATAATCAACTAAAATCTTAAAAACACAAATAGCAATTACCAAATACGACAACATCTGTACCTAGCTAGCTCTCTTAAAATTAGAAAAGTTCTACTACTACTACCACCAAGTTTTCTTCTTTAAGATCCAAAAACATAAGAGAAAAAACTGAAACTCTAAGATGAAATTACCTCAAGAATCTTAGCTAAAAATCAGTAGAAGTCTGATTCATAAGCTGGTGTTTCTCTAGAATGTGATCCATCAATTACAAAGTTATTATTCTTTTCAATATTAGAAAACTAAGAACATTATGCTACATACTAATATTAAGTCATCTGAGATTCTGAGAGAAAAACTTAAACTTCCAAGATTTAATTTATGTATAAATTTTATATTTACCTGTCAATAGCTTAGTAAAAGTTATGATAGATACTACATACCAATTATTCTGAACCACTAAATTTCTAATATTAAATCATTATCTTTTCTTCAAAAGTTTAGTATTCAGATACAAGATTTAATTGTAATTCTAAATGGCATGTTGGTAGTATAAAACAGCTAATTCAAAATTCAGATCATCTGTACTATTTCCATGATGAAATTTTTACGGTCATCTTGGATACTATTTACCTTTGTGGAGTCTGCTGACTGACAATAGCATTGGCAGTCTCCCTCAGATACACCTCCCAATCTGTTTCAGGGATTTCTTGATCAGCAGTAAAAGGATATCTACATGATTAAAAAGAATACACAATAAATTAAATCAAAGTGTGCTTGTGTCCCAAAATGTTTCCTGTGGTAAATGTCCCTTTCACTCACTGTTGTACTCTGCAGGCTTCACACATAAGTAGGGCTTTTCGGAGATTCCTGCAGGACTTCTCTGCAAGTCTATGAGCCAGTTGTGAAGGAAGATTCAGACCTTCCTTCTTGCACACAGTAGATAATACATGACAAATCTACAAACAAAACATTATTAACAAAATTAGGCAATCTGTCAAATAGCACATGAAAGTAATTGTTGATAAACATCTTTATAGACCCTTGTTATTGTATTTATTTTTGTCACTCCCTACTCTAAGTCACAAGTTCCTTTAGCAGAAAGCCAGAGGTCTAGTCTAGCTGTTAGAAAGAGGCAGCAACTGGCCCTGCAACTGAAGAAAGACCTGGTTTAAATTACAAGTCTGCCAGCCACCTTAGAGGAACGTTGAGAAAAACACACAGGGCCTCAGGTCTTTTACAAGGACATCACTCAAAGGACTGCCAAGTAGAGCTGCATAGGCTGAATTCTGCTTGACTCAGGCAGTATTATTTGCATGCATCAAGACACCAACAGTGCCCATAGGAGTGATGTAACCAGGTAGTCCTGCCTTTTTAACTATATTAGATTTTAACTATATCAAACTATTTTAACTACGTTAAGAATTTTTATAAGTGAAATTTTTTTTTTACAAGTGATAGTTTTAATGAAGGTACTTTGCCACTTTGCAACTAACAGGTCACATTATTATCCCTACTTTGCATAAAATCACCCAAAATCTATACATGGCAGGAAAGCTGCTTATTTGAGAAATGTGCATTTTTATTTCTAAGTATTAACAAGGATAAAGGGAAAAAATGTATTATGTTGTTTCAGACTAATTTTGGTCCCCTAAGTAGGACCTAGGAATTCCCACATTATCTCCTTGCAAAATCTGTATCCTCCAACCTCAAGTCTCTTCCAAAACCAATTCAATCAGCTTGAGGTCGAAGCCTTATTACATAACTACCCCTTACCTAGTTTAGTAAAATTCATTATCTACTTATTTAAGGTAAAAAATGACTTAAAGAGAAGAACTTGCTAAATACTGATGGCATATACACAGTATTATTCTTAACAGAGCTTACCATCACACTTTCTATATAGTGGTAACTGGCATTTACTACCATATATATTGGTTTATCTATCCACTACTGGTTGGGCCCCAGGCCATATATGTTCCTAAATTACTCAATACTTCACCATGTTTTTACAAAACAAACAGGACAGGGAAATGCACACACTGCTCACAGAACCTGAAATATTTCTGAAAAGTTTCATTTGACTTACATCCTCGATGCTGGGAGCAGGCACACGAACAGCCAGGCACCTACTACGAATAGGTGGTATTACTTTAGATGTAGAATTGCAACACAAGATCAATCTGCAAGTGGACATATACTTTTCCATGGTTCTACGCAAGGCATGTTGAGCATCTTTGGTGAGTTTATCAACCTCTGTCAATAATACCACTAGTCAAAGAGAAACAAAACAAACTAACTTGAATATGCAACAATGTGTGACAGAGCAGTAAACTGAAAATAACAAAATGAAGCTCCTTTCCAAAACAATCCTTCACAATGAGTAGAAATTCAAATGGAACAGGAAAAATAGAAACAAGGAGACTGATCCCAAAATCTAACAAAGAACTTAAAGTACTACAAATCAATGGATACCCCCCAAAAAAAGAAATTCTTTGGTAGGCAGAAAATAGCAGCATATTTTAAAAATTAACACATGACCAAGTGAGGTTTGCTGTAGAAACACAAAGCAGTTTCACTAGAAGACCCAATATAAGCTACAAAATTAGGTAAGAAAAACAACTAAGAAAAATCATAAAACCACACTCATGGATGCAGAAGCAGCATTTGAAAACATTTAACAAACATTTATGTTAGAAACACTCAGGGATCCCTGGGTGGCTCAGCGGTTTGCGCTTGCCTTTGGCCCAGGGCGCGATCCTGGAGCCCCGGGATCGAGTCCCACGTTGGGCTCCCTGCATGGAGCCTGCCTCTCCCTCTGCCTGTGTCTCTGCCTCTCTATGTATATCATAAATAAATAAAATCTTAAAAAAAAGAAAAAAAAAGAAACCCTCAAAAGTATGAATTGATGTTTGCTTTCTTCTTATGATCAAATAGATACCCTCAGGCCAAAGCCAAAAACTATATAAATGGGAAATCCCTAAAGCTCTCCTTTGAGTCATGACAAAGATGTCCACTATCTTTAGTACTATTAAACACTGTATTATTAGAGGTGTTGGCAAATATAATTAGGTTAGAGAAAGTGCTTAAAGCCATACAAATTAGAAAGAAGGGGAAAAATCATCTCTATTCATAGATGACATAAATACATATATAACTGAAAATTCAAAAGAAACAATGGAAAGGCAAACAATAGAAAAATGTAAAAATATAGTAAGATATAAAATTAAGACAACAAACATCAATAGATGTCACATATGTAAAAAAAAAAATTAGAAAATATAAGACAACCCCATTTACAGTAGCAAAAAAACAGAAAACCGTGCCTGAGTGGCTCAATCAGTTAAGCAGCCAACTCTTGATTTCCGCTCAGGTCATGATCTCAGGATCATGGGACTGAGCCCTGAGGTCAGGCTTCACACTGAGGCTCCAGGCTCACCTAGGAGTCGACTTGGGAGATTCTCTCCCTCTGCCCCACCCTAAACTGTCTCTCTCTCTGTCTCTCTCTCTCTCTCTCTCTCAAATAAATAAATAAATAAATAAATAAATAAATAAATAAATAAATTCTGAAATACAGTGAACTAAGAAGGAAAGACAAGGAATAGGATGAAATATACACAGGCAATTCACAAAACAGTAAAATGAGCAAGGAAAAAAGAAAAAATTACCACACTAAATAAAGTACAAACTATTTTCTCCACTCCAACTGACCAAGATTAAAATTAAGTAACTACAGTGGTGATAAATGTCACGGAATGAGAACTCCCAAATACTTCTGGTGGCAGCTTAAGTCTACCTTACAGATAAAGAATTTGGCAAAATCTATCAAAAGCATTAAATGTTTTTCATCACAAAATCTTCTACAAGAATGTACACATATGTGCACATAAATAATACTAGAAGGTAGTGACAAAAATGTTAAAAGTAACTGTCTGGATGGCAAAATTAAAGCTGATTTTTAATTTAAATATTTGAAAATGAACATAGAACCTTGGTCCTAACATTTTAAAATGTTATTTCTTGTTTTAAATAAAGTGTTTTGAATTCATCTAGTTCTAAAATAACAAACAGGTGGTACAGTCTTCTTTCCATCAAAATTCAATTCCTTTAGGCTATATACTCCCATGAGCACAAAGATCATGCCTCCTATTCACTTTTATATCCAAAAATAAGGGAGCATAATGTGCTTGGCATAGAACAGGAAGTTGACAAATACTTGCTAAATAGAATTTACATTTCCCACTGTATTTTCTCTTATACTCACTGCATACAATTTCAGTGTCTGACTTAAAAGAAATAGGTTTATCACATACCTTTAAAATCTCTTTGGGAGTTTGTTTCAAGTTGCTGTGATTGTGCCACTGTTTTCAACATCTCCTGAATTACTACTCGGTCACTATTTCCAGCATCACTATATAAAGTGAAAATAATGGTAAATATAGATGTAAATATTTAGAAGATACTATACCCTTATTCTTAATCTGTTACTGTAAGAAAAACATTGAAGATCTTATTAAAATTTTAATCAAAATTATTGACACCTAATTACATTCACAAAATTCTGAAAGTGAAATATTTTAGGGTAATTAAAATACAATATTCTGATGTTCAATTATAATTTAATAAGTATCACTAAAAATAGTTGTTCTAATATTAAGTTTACTGTAACTTAAAAAGAGCAATAACTAATCCTTAAGTTTCTTAATTACTTGTAGTTACTCAAAATGTAAAAATAACTGACAAAGAAATTTCATCTCCATTCCTCTTCTCCATTCCCCAAATCATAAAGGTCTGAGAGAACAAGCCTAGACAAGTCAGTTCCCAACACTAGCATGGAGCTGATACAGGGTCTTAGCAAGAGGACAGGATAAGCAAATGGAATTTAAGATAGAGCTGTGTAAGCTGTTGACTTATTATAAGCATCATCTGTCACTTATACTGTGGCACATTATTGCTGTGGCACTTAAGTCATGCACCTCACAAATCACATGAGTCACCTAGTTAACTTAGGCTGTCAATTTCAAACATCTGAAAAACAATCAGCTCACCCACTGACTATTCTTGCCACAGAGAACTCACAATGAGAAACAGGGCAAAGCCATCATCTTTTAGTTTATTTTCCCAACAGCCATCACATCTTTCTCAATTTACTATTATTAGATCAATATACCTGGAAAGTCTCTTTTATGATCATTTCTTAACCAAGAATCCAAAACATTTCCCTTCTGTCTATGGAATTAACACTTTCTTCTAGTTTTCTAGTAAGACCCTTTCCCAGCAATCTTTTTTTTTTTTTTTTTAAGATTTTATTTATTTATTCATGAGAGACAGAGAGAGAGGGAGGCAGAGACACAGGCAGAGGGAGAAGCAGGCTCCACGCAGGGAGCCCGATGCGGGACTCGATCCTGGGACTCCAGGATCATGCCCCGGGCTGAAGGCAGGCGCCAAACCGCTGAGCCACCCAGGGATCCCCTTATCCCACCAATCCTAATTTTCTTAGACATATCTGAGGAGAGTGCTAACACCTGTCTGTTAGGGTTGTTTTAAGGACTAAATAATCCACGTGAAGCTTCTCATACAGCATCTGCTACTGAACACTTACTAGCTTGTAACTATATTTGTCCTGATCCATTCAGTTCCTCCTCCTCTCTGCATCACCGCCAGAAGAGGCTGCCTTCGCCTGAAGATGTCCTTGATTCTGTATTCCTTTCAAGAACATATCAGGCGGGATCCCTGGGTGGTGCAGCGGTTTGGCGCCTGCCTTCGGCCCAGGGCGCAATCCTGGAGACCCGGGATCGAGTCCCACATCGGGCTCCCGGTACATGGAGCCTACTTCTCCCTCTGCCTGTGTCTCTGCCTCTCTCTCTCTCTCTGTGACTATCATAAATAAATAAAAATTAAAAAAAAAAAAAAACATATCAGGCCCCAGACAAGCCTGAAGCTTTACCTAACTTTGCTCTTAAAACAATCACTTCTACACTATTAAGTAGTACATAACTGTCATGGTATAAATTTTCAGTGTGCCCCCAAAGATGATCCTAATCTTATTAAATCGTGATTTAAAAAAAAATACACATTGATTGATGAACTATTACACACATTCTAACCAAGAAACTGAAACAAAGGAGTAGCAAAAAAAGATCTGGTAACTCAAATTCACGTTCTGAAATGCTCACTCCAGACATTACAAGCTTTTTAGACATACTTTGCCATTAGTTCTGAATCAGTCAATAGAACAAAAATTTAATGACTATGAAATGTACTCTGTATAAAACACTGAACTCTATAGAGCAAGAAAATTTAAATACTAAAATTATTTGATCCAGGGGTCAAAGAGAAAAGGGGAAGTGGAAAGGTTCTAGGCTCCCTATTTCACACTGGGCAGCTTTGCTTTTATGTGTATATATATTGTGCCTCCATATACGATTCTATTTCAAGAATGGGCGCTACTCTTAAAAAATTTTTTTTAGGGATCCCTGGGTGGCGCAGCGGTTTGGCGCCTGCCTTTGGCCCAGGGCGCGATCCTGGAGACCCGGGATCGAATCCCATATCGGGCTCCCGGTGCATGGAGCCTGCTTCTCCCTCTGCCTGTGTCTCTGCCTCCCTCTCTCTCTCTCTGTGACTATCATAAATAAAAATAAATAAATAAATAAGTAAATAAATAAATAAATAAGTAAATTTTTTTTAAAAAAGGCTTTATTTCTATATAGTAGAAATTTACCTGGGATTAACTTCAAGGTGATAATTGCTTGCAATCGTGCTAATTTCAATTTTCTTCTTAGACGGAGTCTGTGGACAAAGAAGATAGATGTTTTTAACACTGATTTATTGGCCATTTCTTCTCTTTTCTGTATTTCATAGTTTTTAAAAAAATAAACAATTTATGCTTAATAAAAAACATTTTAGGTAATAACCACTAATATTTCGACCTCATTAACCCCCTTGTCTTTTTTATGTGCAAATAAACATGTTTCCATATAAATTGGGTCATATCACACATCCTGTTTTTATTATTTTTTTACCTCTACCACCAGAATCTACAAACCATTCCATTATGAGCACCTCATCACTGTAAACAGTCTGCATGGACTTTACCATCACACACACGTATATTTAAATATATTTATATATTTATATTGTGTCAATGTTTCTTGTAAAAAGAATTATAAAACAAGTGGCAATCATATCTATTTTTCTGTGTTTTACTATTCCTAGTTAATAATAGATCTCGGCAATTACCCGCAAACACTGATATAGGGAAGTTGCATATCGACCTGTCACTTGGATGTCCCCAAAGTCAGTCATACTGATGGGTCATTTTGTTCCTTGCTTTTTGACACCTCTAACAATCCCACAATTAACATCCTTCCACATGCCTAATATACTGACTTCATTTCTATTTAACAGATTCCCAATAAAGGATTTGCTGGATTGAAGGAAATGTTTTCTAAACTTTTATGTATATGTATAACCAGCCTGTTTTCCAAAAAATAAAAAAAAATATATATATATATATATATATATCTAACAATTCATTTATCCACTGGCAAGAAACACTCTTCCCCAACATTCCCTTTCTACAGGTTTTATGTCATGCCTTCAATTTCCACCAATTTGATCAGACTCACTGTTTCTCTTCAACTATCACAAATGTCAAACGTCTTTACATATGTTTATTAGCTTCTTTCATTCAGTTTTCTAAGTTGTCTCCACTGTCAATTTGTAAAATCTTTTATCTAACCCGTTCCTTTCACATATTTTTCGGCTATTTTTTCCTGCTGATTTTATGTTATCTTCTGTCATACAAACTTGTAAGTTTCATATAATACAAGTACATACTTTATCACTTACATGTTTTTATAAAAGGTATTCCTGACTACTATAGGCTGTTCATATAATCTAAGAAATTTAGTATTTTCATTTTAACACTTAAGTCTTTAATTCATATGGAATCCAATTTTATCAATTATTGAATCATAGGGATTCAACTTTCTTTTCTTCAGAGTAACTAGTTACGCTAGCACATCTTTCTGACTCATGCTCTTAATACTTATTTGAAATAGATACCATAAGATTTTGGGGCTCTCTAATAAGTTTCACTGATTGAATTCACTCTTCCCATGCCAATATAACACTGTTTTGATTACAGGAGCCTTACAATAGGATTTAATATCTCATAACACCAGTCCCACCTCACGAATCTTTTTCAAAATTACTTTAGTTTCAGAAATGTATTCTTTCATATGTACTTTTTTTAAAATATATTATTTATTTACTCATGAGAGACAGAGAGAGAGGCAGTCACAGACAGAGGGAGAAGCAGGCTCCACACAGGAAGCCCGACGCAGGACCTGACCCCAGGACCATGACCCGAGCCAAAGGCAGACACTCAACCGCCAAGCCACACAAGCGTCCCTCAAATGTACTTTAAGAGCGTTTCATACAATTAAAAAAACTTGGACTTTTAATTGTAATTTCATTTAAATTTATGCTATAACTTGGGTAGAACATATTTTCAAGTAGTAAGCCTTTACCTAAGAACTTGTTGCAACTTTCTATTTGATCAGCTCTTGTTTTTTTGTCCTTTTATAAAATATTACAGTTTTCTCCCTACGGATCTCACACCTTTCTTGTTAAATTTGTTCTCGCATACTTTGTAAGAATTCTCACCGGGGTATACCACCAGCACCTCAAACTCAATGTGTCTAAACATAAGCTCATCAACATTAGCCTAAAATCCATTTATCTTTCCTAAAGATTCTATTAATATCACTACTTACCATCCAGTCTTTCAGCATACATTTTTTCAGTGCCATATATATATATATATATATATATATATATATATACACATATATATATATAAAACATATATTTCAGTGCCTAATACAGTATTATATATATATATATATATATATATATATATATATATATAAGATGTTACACCACGGCCTATGAAGGATACAAAAATGAACAGGACATGTTCCCTACATAACTTCAAACAAATACAATTTTGTCAAAATAAAAAATGAAAAACTATCATCAAGGGCAAAGTTAAGTACTCTAAAAATATATGAGAGGTAAAAGGAAAAATTAATTCTAATGGGACTGGAGGGCACAACAAGAGGAACTATTTTAGCTAAATCTTCAACACTGTCTGTAAGGAGAGTATGGAAATACACTGCATGTCATGAGGCTGGAAACTCAGCCAAAGGCAAGATCATGGGAATGATCTGAACATCCCAGAGTTCATGCTTCCTTTTCTAATTAGTCAGCTGCCCAATCTCTTCCAAGTTGCCTGATTCCTTTAAACTTTTTCTCAAAATCATTCCTTTTCTTTTCAAATCCCATGACTGCTCTCTGAACAATGAACTTTAGAGACCTGAGTTCCAGTTCTAGCCAAGGTAGTACCGATTCACTAGATAATCTAAAATGAATCCCACCACCTACATTTCACCCAAAATCTCCTGTTACTCTTATTTCCTAACACAACTGACTTTGATCTGGTTTTAATAGTTAGATCTATACATCAGTAGCTCTCAATCCTGTGCACCTGAGTTATACATGAAATTCTTACTTAAACACACATTGATGGCTGAGGCCACAGGAATATGCATGATGAGGACAGAAAATCCCTGCTTTAAATATTTGGGAGGCCTCAAAGTAAAATGCTTACTGTGATGGTCTGATGTTCAATTCTTAATTTTTCCACTCCAACACCATAAAGTTCACGTAGAATACACATAATTCTTGTCTTTTTTCCAGCCCCTGATGGTCCATACACTAAGAGATGAGGAAAATCACCACACTGCACCTGCAATAAACAAGGAGGCATTTTTTTTTTTCCCAAACAACGACTCTGGGTAGAATTAAACTACTTTTTAGGTATCAAATATTTCATATCTCCACTTATGAGACTCATTAGAAATATGTATGAATGAATGTGTATATAAACAGAGAACTTTTAAAATTAACTCTGAAATATTACTTATTCCCTGGCATTAATTTTATATAATCATATACTTAGTATAATACACGCAGGATACAACACCCTGTGCTAGAATTAGAATGCAAGAACTTTCAAACTGAGTCTGTCACAATCACGTTTTAAAATAAAAGACTGATTGATTACTAGACTCCATCCATGAGATTATGATTCAAAAACTGAGATTGATGCCTTTCTTAGTTTGGGCTTCTATAGTCCGTTTGATAAGAACTGAGTGTATTTGGTTTGAGAGGTAAAGGAAAACTTTGTAAGGCAATGAGGAAGCAAAGGACAGGAAGGCAGCCAATGAGTGTATTAGCCGTTTAAATATCATTCTAGGCATCTGGAGTTTAATTCTGCTGGGGATACTCTTGAAGCCAGTATTAAAACAAACAAACAAACAAGCAAACAAACAAACCCCCAAAAAACCTACCCAAGAAGGTGGGGAAACTGGAGTATGATATGCTATTTTTCATCAGTCCTTTGATGAAGCCTGCTTGGGAAAGTGGCTGGGATTAAGGGAGGGCATTAATTCCCAGGCATTTTAAGTCTGCTTAGAGGTGTCAGCAAAAGAAAACCTTCAGAACGTGCAGATTCAGCAGACACATGGAAGTCAGTCTGCATGCACCTAAAAATCAAGAGCTAAGGGATGGAGGAAGGCACTGACAATACTGCAAAAGAGTACAAAACTGTGTCCATTTACAAAGCTTCCCAGATGACTGATGATCAGTCAGGTTTGGCAATGAGTGCTATAAAGGCTATAAAAATGATGAGAAAACAAACCTTAACCTCAAGGGCATAAAACCTTGTGAATGAAGCTTAAGTTTCTAGATGAGAAAACAAACCTGAACCTCAAGGGCATAAAACCTTGTGAAGCTTAAGTTTCTACATAAGCATTATACTAAAAATGAAATAAATCTTAACAGAAATGATTATTGCGATGCATTTTAATACTTTGTAAACTCTGGCACTGAAAAAGTTTCAAGGAAAAGAACTATTCACCCATGCATAGAAAACAGCAGGTGCTTCACAAATACCTTGCCTTTGCTTTTTAGACTCGATCTAGTCAAAACGAAGGGTAGGCTAGGTTTCACAGTTTCACTAAGTTGTAGATTCAACAGTAAAACAAGTGAACTTTTTTTAAAAACAAATGAACAAACAAGACCCAATTTTTGTTCAAAATATTTATTGCAAACTCTGCACAACAAAAAGAGAGCCACAGAAAAGAAAATGTATCCTATGGCTAGAAAAATCAAAGTGAAAGCTATTTTGAGAAAACACAATTTGTCTAGAAATCATATACAGCTGTAACAGATTTATTTTAGTGGTATTGATGGAATACCACTAAAAAGGAAGGAAAAAACCCTCAATCTCACAGCACTACCAACTTTTCTAATGACTTTCATATACGGATGGAGTTGTTTTTCTTTTCTAATTATTTCTCACTTTTTAAAAGTACTTAACAAGTTGTACCTGTAACTCTGAAAAAAGGTGAGTATGGAAGAACCGGAGAGCTGAGCAACACTTCCATCAGCATATGGTACTATCGGATTCTTAAAAGCAGTGAATAAATAGCTTCCACAGATACTACATTTTTCTCAAGACCCTTCTTCCCACTCCAGCTCCTAAAAGATTCAGTTTGCTTTTCAGAAAACACTGCCACTAGACATTTTTACCAACTACAACACGAAAATACACACATTAAGGTTGGAAGGGGAAAAAAAAATCCTCCATAAGGAATTTAAACTCGACGACTCAACACAACCTCTTTTAGAATTAGAAATGACCGGGACACTGGGCGGCTCAGCGGTAGAGCATCTGCTTTTGCCCGGGGTGTGATCCTGGGGACACGGGGTCGAGTCCCACATCGGGCTCCCTGCAGGGAGCCTGCTTCTCTCTGCCTCTCTCTGCGTCTCTCATGAATGAATGAATGAATGAATGAATGAATAATAAACAATATTTTTTTAAAAAAGGATTAGAGATGACCTCCGAAATTACTAAGTACCTTCCTTTTTGTAAATACGGGCAATATCACCAAGAAATTTTAAGTAAGCCGTTTGTTAAAAGGTAGTTAGATGATGTCACTTCTCTGCTCAAAACCTTCCAAAGGCTCCCTGTCTCGCCGGTGCTACACGGATCTCCTGGGTCCGCACCCACCCGCCTCCCCCGCCCCATTTCCTACCTCTCTTCCCGCTGGCCTACTCTTATCCAGCTACACCGGCCTCCTGGAGGTTCCTCAACAGGCCGGGCACACTCCTGCCTCAAGGAACTTGCACTTGCTGTTCTCCGTCTACCTGTTCCACTCTTCCCTCCTATTTCCCTCTTGAAGGTTTCCCCGCTTCAGGTCTTAGCTCAGAGGACAGTTCTCGGCAGGCCTTCCCCGTTTACCAGCACAACCGCCGCCCACCCTCCTTCCCTCATCCCCTTCCGAGGACGGTGGACGAAGCCCCACTCCTCAGGCGCGCGAAACCCCACAGAGCTGGGGCCTACCCGCCTCTCCCCGCCCGCCCCGGCCCGGCCCGGCCCGGCCCGCGGACTCACCAGGTTGCGCAGCTGGGCAGCCTGCTCCTTGTGATAGTCAAGCCGCCCCAAGGAGCAGGGCCGGTATTTGTCCACCCAGAGGCTCATGCCAGCTCGAATTCCCGGGGTCCGACGCTTGAAAATCCCGCGCGCGGGGATCTCGCTCCGCCGGGACGCGGAGTTCTCCCGCGAATTCCAAATCTCGTGACGTCACTACCGGCCCTGGTCGCGCAGGCCAGTTAGGGACTAAAGACTACGGAAGCCGAGTGGGGACAGTATTAGCCGCCGTGTTGGTGCTGGTGAGCATCAGCCTAGTCGTTGATGTTCCTTGTTCCTGTAATTATTTTTGTTGTTCTCACCCTCTACAGTAGTCCAGAAATTACTAAACAAAGCTGGAAATTTGGCTCTGATACTCCCGGCTTCAAAGCAGATACCTCAAAGAAACCATGTTCCTCGATTAATTTCATTCATTCATTCATTCACTCATTCGCTCTACAGAAACCTGCAAAATATCTACCGTGTTGAGCTCGGTTCTTGGCACTAGGATATATACGACTTGGGGCATTTCTTACTGGGCAGGCTCTCAGTAAAGCTTTTTAGAAATAAATTGCTAAAAATAAAACCCAATCTTCCCTGTCCTTCCTTCCATTCTTCAAGAGTCTTATTGAGTTGAAAGCAAGGGAATAAAAACGTCATGAAAAACTACAGAAATGTGGCCTGTAGGAGACACGATAAGAGATTATAAACACCCTTCTGATTAAAATGAGACTAATGTGAAACCCTTGGGAAAATATTCTGCATATAAAGCCCATATAAAACTCTCATTGTGCCTCCAAACTTCACCTCTCAAATGCATTTTTCTAATTGTACACGGAATTAATTCCTTATTTACATTATGGTCTTACTTTACACATTGTTCAGAAGCCTGTCATACAACCTCAGGTTCTTACAGGACAGGCAATGATCACAAGATACCTGATCATAAAAATGACCTGTCGAAGTGCCCCGTCTCATTCATTTATTAAACTAGAATTTATTGTGCTCTATGAGTCATCATATTTACTGAATTATTCCTACAGGCATGATGTTATTCAGCACCATCAACAGCACCAAGAACTATAAGATATATTCCCTATTCTCAAGAAACCTTCTGAAACAAGCTTTGGGGGCTTCTACCTCAGGACCTTGGCACTTCTATTCTCTTTTCCTGGACCACTTTTGTTCAAGTGTCAATAGAGGTGGGTCTCTCACTTCTTTCAGGGTGTTTGCTCAAAGTCATCTCTTCAATGAGGCTTCCCAGCCCTACTTAACACTACAAAATCTTCCACATTCCCTATGCTATTCCCCTGTTGAATTGGGATGGAGGGGGGGAAATGTTTGAAGATAGAAGGTAAAGGAAATCAGAAGCAAAGGTGTTGAATTGTCATCTATGTGGGTAATGGAATCTTGAAAAAAATAATGGAAATAATTGTTCAGAGGAAGGAAGTAAACCAGGTGCTAAAATGATCAATGAATTGACAATGACGCTGAGCATGACAGACAACTTCCTACTATGAAAGGTAATAGAGAGTGGAGTCTGAAGATATGTAGACATGTGTCTCAAAGTTGCCACAGGTTCCAAGGAGGGAGAAATGTTGCAGAAGGAACACCAACAGATGAGAAAGACACTTAATTCACATAGGGCTATCAGATTCCATGAGTAAAAATATAGGAAGTCTGCTTAAGTTTTGGATTACTTTTTATTATTACTAAATATTACTGCAAATATTGCATGGGCATACTTTAAAAAAATATTCATTGTTTACCTGAAATTGCAATCTAATTGGGTGTCCTGTATTTTATCTGGTAATCCTACTCCAGACTTACAAATATGAGAATTGAGATATGACTTCAGAGGAAATAGGATCCTCAGGGGAGAGTCAGGAAATGAAAGAAGTAAAAGTAGTGGCTATGCATATTAAGCAGTGGCCAGCAAACAATAGCTCCAATCACTCAATGACTCTGCTTCCTTGGCCCTAAAATGGAGTTGATGAAACCTGCTTTCCATAGTTCATTTGAGGATTAAGTAAGGTAATAAAAGCAGCAACCACATAGAAGGTAATTAATAATTAGTGGTTATGTTTTATTGAGAAAAAAACATATTCACAGGGATACAAGATGAGTGGGCATGAATATATAGATGGTTAAGAACACGCTAAGGTTAAATTTGCACTGGGCTCATCCAAACAAAAATGTTAAAGCTGTCATCATCTACCTGTAACCAAGGGTTAGGCAGAGCCAACCTTAATTTCTAAAAACCTTCAAGATCAAGGATTGAGCCCAGAAAACCGGGGCTTTTCTGCTCCTAACTCTTGGCAGTTTATCTCAATGTACCTCTCTGGGGCAAACCCATAATCGGTTCTTTTTTTTAAAGATCTTATTTCTTTATGAGAGAGAGAGAGAAAGGTGAGACACAGGGAGAGGGAGGAGAAGGGATTTGATCCCAGGATTCCGGGAATCACACCCTGAGCCAAAGGCAGAAGCTCAACTGCTGAGCCACCCAGGCATCCCCTGTAATTGAGTCTTGTCAGAATCAGGAGTAAGTTCTTTCTATAGGCTTTCTTTAAAGAGAAGTGATGAAGCAGATATGTAATGATCTCAAGAAGCCTAGAGACTAGCCAAGGAGTATGTGTAATTTTACTTCCTCTAAAAAATTATTACCACTTTGGCTTCACAAACATTTGTGAGATTTCTCTTTCATACGTCTAAGATTTGGACCTTCCTCTTAAGAGAGCATATCCAGCATCCTTGCTTCGATTTTAAAGTGAGAGAGTGTCCTGGTCCTTTTTTTTCTTATAATTTATTCTTTGAAATTGTCAGTGTTAGTGTCCAGTTTAATTCTGGTTCTCCATTTGGGGAAGGGACAGTGGGCAGAGCTGTCTCTGCACTTTAGAAATAGCATTAAATAGTAAGTTGGAAAGAATTTTGAACAGAGGTTTTTCACAGGAACTTCACATGTCACATTTTTTTGTGGCAATAATATGAAATGTATCTTTCTGAAATAAGTAACCATAAGTTTTGCTGCAAAGAACTTGAAAACAATAGTTTAAAACTCCCAAAGATGAATAGTTTAAAATTCATTTTAAAATTGTGGCAGAGCCAATGCTCTGTGTTCACCAAATCTCCTGATTTCCCTGGGTACAGGAGTGCTTTTTGGAGCTTCCTCCATAGTTAGTGGAATCATGTGACTCAATTCGGGCCAATGGCAAGTAGCTGCAATGATGGGCACCATTTCTGCTCCTGTCCCATTTGAACTCCTGGCTGCTCCCTCTCACCTTTTCCACTTACTGGCCCCTTTAGTACAGAGAATCCAGCGGAGGGCTCTTTAGGGGACAGTTGGAGCCCTAGATGGAGGGAACTTGCTTGGGTCCCTGTGTGTTAGCCCCGTTGCTCTCCATACTGCCCAAAGCAAAGCAGGTGCTTTATTTGGGATGTAATTACAGGGAGCAGCAGGGATGAACTGAGGAGAGTGAAAGAGGGAAGGAAGTAAAACCAATGCAAGGAGGAGGTATTATCAAGGTCATCTCTGTGGGAAACTGAGGCTTGCTCACTGTCTGAGAAGTGTGCGGAAGATTTTTTTCAGTTGTCTTCTGAGAGGGATGGGAAGAAATATTCCTCTCCCAGCTCCCATACTCTGTTGGTTGAAGGGGCTCCTTGAAGATGATAATCTCCAACATAGTCACATTTCTGTGGCAGTGGGCCTGTGTACTCAGCAGAATCCTGCTGGTGCTCATCATCAAAGTCCATCAATCTTACCAGTTGTTCTTTCCCATTATCCATCTCCTCATGCGTTTATTTTCCCATTGCCTAAGAAAACAGGTAATACAGGTTTTATACTTTTCATATTAAATTTCCAGACAGTATCAAAATATCCCAGGATAATAAAGACAATTTTTATAAAGATAATTAAAATATAAATAATAGCTTCAACTTATCAGAGAGATTGATGCATAGCAGATAAATATTTTTTCACATAAAAAGCAATCCCTCATTAAAATGCCAGGCATTCAGAAGTTGAATAGGGAGGCAGAAAATTCTTTGTCTGGTCCCCCTATGCCCCTTTGCAGTTGGCACATGCATTGCTTCAAAAAGGAAATCTAGGAATTCAAACTCTATAGGTCCATTTTATATTCAAGGGCTTCTTCAGCCAATTGTCACCAGTCAAGAATACGTGTTTACTTAATGACCTCTATTACTAGAGTAATTTTGTTCTAATTTTATTTTGTTTTTAATATGAAAATTGTTTCTTTTCTAAATATGTATTTTTCATGTGATAAATCTAAAAATTACATTGTAATGAAAAGAGAAGAGTATCTGAAATAATGTTTAATAGTGAAGGCAAAGTACAATCATGGTACACTATAACATAGGGTTTTTTTGGTCATATGTAGCACTTTTGCTCATGACCTAAGTATACTAAGTAGCCTTCTGTGTCTTTTGGGTGTGAACTGGCACTCCTGGCTCTGAGGAGCATCTCAGGATGGCAGGTGTTAGTTGTGGACAATGGAAATGTCTGCCATGAATCAAAGAGCATGAAGCGTCTTTATCCATTATTCTCTGAGTTATATGACCCTATAACACCACTCAACTAAACAAGAGTCAGAGCACAAGATTCATATCTGTGCTAGGTGAAAGGGAGCTGAGCATAGGGGCAGCTGATACCATGTGGTGCTTTTATATTCACTCTGACAAGTATTGGTACTTATGTTTTTATACACATTTAAATCTGTGTATCCACAACCTATATCAAGATACAGAACATTTCCCCCACTCTAGACGGCTCTCTCATGCCTCTTCCCATTCAATATAGCCCCCAGAGTGGCCACAATTCTGAATTCTATCATCATATATTATTTTCTCTGTTCTTAATCTTCATATAAATGAAATCATATAGTATATTTTCTTTTGTGCTTGGGCTCTTTTGCTCATTGTATGTCTTCAAAATTCATCCATTTGTTATATGTAGTAGTAATAAGTTGTTTATCTTTTATTGCTGTGTAGTATTCCATTGTACCATTATCAGGACAGGCTTCATAGGAATGTCACATGTGCAGTGCCACGTAGGCTCCTGTTTGCTTTAATGCTCTGCTGCTGACATCTTGAAATTCTTAATAATTTCTTAACAAGGAACCTGCATTTTCAT